CAATGCAGAGCAGTGCGTTCCGAGAGGGATCTGGATCTCGAGCAATTAAAGCATGCATTAGCTTCCAGGTCATTGAAGATTTTGCTCCAAAATGACGGCTTAGTGTCCATCCGTCTGGGACGAAATGTGTGCGCTGTAATCACGTACATAGACTGAGATCGAAATTAAAGTAATGTCTTCGTGATACCCATTCAAGGATTCGTATTAGCATTGTCATTAAAAGGGGGAACTTTGAGTATTCGAACACTTTCAGTGGGCGGGAGAGAAGGAAAATTGGAAAAAATAGAAGAAGGAGCGAAGGAGCAAACCATTCGAGTAACAAAATGTATCTATCAGTAGAGCCTGGAAATATCACTTTTTGTGGAAAACAATTGAACACCTTTTTTTCAATGTTTCGTTGTTCGACAGTATTACTCAAGTCAAAGTTTTGATGAAATCGGTAGTGTTTTTAATGAAATGAATGGAAAGTCCGTTAAGTATTTTGTGGGTGTACATTACCATTAGTTGGTTGGAGGGGCAGATGCAGAGTCAATTTTTGGGGGGGTATGTTACTTTTTATGGTCTTTCTGAAACTTGAGGCTACACGTTGAGGTTTCCGTGCCTTTTTTTAAAGGATGGGAAATTTAAAAGACAAAACTCGCCTTTCTCTCTTCGATGGAGCAAACCAAGACTCTTCTGTGTTCAGATTTTGAATAAAGTTGTTTCGGATTCTGGGGCTTTAGACCAAAAAAGTCTCCGGTATCTGGTCAGCGCGCGCGTCGCGTTGGCAATATAGAAAAAAAATGGTATAAAATGGTGTCCAAAAGCTGCCAAACTTGCCTAATCGACTGGAATCCTGCTACTGCGTAATCTTAATGTGTTTTGATTGGGTACGGTCGAGTATAAAGGAGTCCCTCTAGTTCCCCATACATTTAGTCGGGCGCTCTTTTCAGATGATGTCATCTCTATATTGTACATTTACATCTGGGAACCAGGCAAACAAGGTGGTCTGATGTCATGACATGAGACATGACATACAAGCTGAAAATGCTTTTAAACAGTGAAAAGTGCGGGGGCAAGTTTATTTTAGTGTTGGTTGCGGACGGCGTTTACGTGCGCATGTAGTTGCGATCAACATCGCGCGTTACATGTGCATCATTTCTTCCAGAAAAAAGTGAGGGTAAAATAAAGAAGCCGCGTGGCCGCATCGCTTTTGGAGCTACCCAGCTCCTGACCAGAAACCAGAGACTTTTATCGGATTTAGTGCGTTTTCTCCAGGAGTCCAGAACTGAAAGAACGTCTTTCGGTCGGCAAATTTAAAAGAGTTGGCCACTTATTTGTTTTGGAAATCTCCGTGCAAAAATCAATTTTAGGAATTAAATGACTGTCAAGGACCAACCACCTGTCGAATGTATAAGGAATATTGGTATCGTAATCTTAATCTGAAGAACAGTCAGACCATCAAACTAGGCCTATTTTGATAAGAAACTGGCTTGGAGCCTCAAACTAGGCCTATTTTGATAAGAAACTGGCTTGGAGCCTTGACGGAGTGTTATCCAAGCGGGGAGCAATGGCCATCATTCCTGCAATATTGTCCGCATGCTCACAATGTCATTCTTGCCTGGGGCATTTACGAAGGACTTTTGATTAGCCTAGGCCTGCTGTGTAATTAACTTTTTGCACCAATGAACACTTGATAATTGAAGTGTACTGTAAGGGCGTATTCGCTGACCGTCTACTGTCAATTGAAAGGTCACATTATCGTGGTGACGTTACAACAGGTTAAAGGCAGTTGTAGCGTTAATTTTTGTCCCCTTCAATAAGCAATGGGCAACTGTCTGTTCAATTCCGTCATTGCCTTGGGCGGTCCCTCGTGAAAATCTTAAAATTCCTTCTTAAAAAAGTCTTCTAACAATCGCATTTCCGTATACAATGAATTCGTGCTCTGGCGAAAATCCAGCACCGTGAGTTTCTCGATGACCACAAAAGGAAAGAACACATTTTGACTCCAAATAGTATACGGAAGGGTCAGACCGCAATCAATCATGAATTGGCCTCGGTCTGTCCCTGTTTCAATGATTGTATATAGTTTAGTTTTAATCAAAATGTGTGGCATGAACATCAACAACATCAATACTATAGCAACAGTTTACTATAGACCACTGAAAATGGTGTTGTGATGAATTAACTTAGCAAATAATCAGAAATGTGGCATTTTATTGTACGCATTGTGCAGAAATTTTTAGGTAATGGGGAACCACCACTTCTGGGTCACCTATTGGGTTTTTCTCTGAACGATTGTTCTCTACACAGGGCTGGATAGAAAATCCACAGAAGTAAAGACACTGGAGCACGGGGGATAAAATAAATTTTAAAAAATACCCGGTTGTGGAAAGGGGGGGGGTTACTGCCACCTTGACACTAGGGGACGCTGTTCATGATGTAGATTTCGCTCGTCGCCTAGCAACAGAACAGGGCGCTCGGAAGGGCTGATGGCCTTGTACAGATTTTAGTGAAGGAAATGCGTCACGCGGGGTCACAGCGAACAACGCGCAGAGCATTGTGGGTAAATTTCTGCCAGGCGCGCGAACTCGCTTTAACGCGTTACACAAGCGGCGGTTATCAAATCGATGTCTTTTCTTTTTCTTCCTCATTGCTGAAAATATTTTCACTACACTTTTTTCGTTCATCGAAAATGATCAACATAACCACTGATTTAAAATAGATCGCCAAAAGACTCGTGATCAGTGATACCTTGTGAGAAGATAAATTACCACACTATGATTGTTCCAAGGCCATGTTTTTATAAGGCCTACAGCCGAGACTTTACCCGTGCCAAAGCATTGCCATTGGCGAACCAAAAACATTAAATAAGGAGCCGTCCATAAGGTACGTACTTTTCAGAGACCCCTCCGCCTGTAGGCGTGGCGTGCGCAGTGGCTCCAACTCCCCTCCTCCCCCCGTACGCATATGCATTCCACAATTCCAGAAGACGCTGCTGCCTGGTCTTTGTGTCATGAGTATTGTTGCCGTTGACCATTTATTTATTGATACATCCCGAACCTTACGTAAACAGCGTATATTACGTCTTTTATTTTCTTTAGTTTGTCCCCCCCCCTTTTTCAGAGCTAATGATACACTTTAGTTATTGGGGAGTCCAAAAAATACTTGACATCCGCTCTAATTTTTTTCTCACCATGAACAGTTTGGGGGATGATTCAAATCATCCATCTCAGTTTAAAATTAAGAATGTGTTGGGGGTTACACCCCCATCCCAGTGATATACACAATGGCGAAACTACGGGTGCCCCCCCCCCGGCGCGGATGCCTGTGCCCACCGGGAGTTCACCCATTTGAAATCTGTGAATAATCTCCGTTGAAATGCACTTGCGACTTATTTTCTTGTGGTGTCCCCTTGAAAAATGTGTGCACCCAAGGGTCTCCCCCAAGGAAATTTAGCCTTAGTTTACACCGCTGGATATTCGGCCATGAAAACGGCAATGTGGTACCAAATTTAGGATTTGAATTCAGTAATTAAGTACCCTTGCAGATAAATTGTGTGATCTTCAATTGAATAGAACAAAAATGAGTTGTGCTACGTATCTGAAAATATATCTGCAACGCAATATGATCTTCAAGTGGAAGTTTCAGCGTGAATCGAAAATTTCACGAGTTTCCATATGATTTCAAATCAATATTTATGTCCTTTTCTGTTAGAGAAAACGGATGTTACTTTTAGGCTGCTCCGGAAGGCACCCTTTATAGAATTACATTGCAACTGAAGTAGTTCACTGTAAACGTGTGAGTTACGACTAAGATCTGTGTCGTTGTGTGGAATGTAAAAGCGTAAAAGAACCGCACTGGTGTCCAACGCCGAATTCAATTCATCAAACGATAATCGTTTAATTGAAGAAAAGAGACACAGTGGTGGACGGAGAGAAGCGAGGTGCGATTCTGCCATCAGAGCAGCTTGGAAAGTTAGACTACTTTTACATTACAAGACTTAAAAAGGGCTGATTAATCGTATTTAATATTGTAGTCTACTTGACTTCTGAACTCAAGTCCAGAAAACGCTGAGATAAAGTGGGGGGGGTCCCCTTGAGACAGAGTTTTTTCTTTTTTAAAGAACAGAAAGCATAAACCCTTTTTAGCATTTTCATTTGGATGGGGTTATTCTGTGGTATGTACGGTCGTACAGTGCATGATTATTTCAGAAAAAAATCCTAAATTTGTCCCTTTTGGACTAAATTTTAAAACACTGCCAGCTGGGGCCAATTTCATGGAGGTGCTTAAGCATAAAATTTGCTTAAGCGGGAAAAAACTTTGCTTAATAAATAAAGATTACCAGCTTAAACTCTATATGATAGTCATGCTAACAAAAAAAAAACAAAGCTAAATACGATCCCAAAACAATATACATAACATGGAGTTTGGGCTGGTTACCAGACTTATCAAGCAAGGTTTTTCTCGCGCTTAAGCCAATTTCATGCTTAAGCAGCTCTATGAAATTGGCCCCAGCTGGATATAATTTTGAGAGAGTCCATTTGATTAACAAGTTTGTTCCACAAGGTAAGAAGTCAAAAGTCGAACTCAAATCCGAAGGAACTGATACTAGTTCAAGTAGTTAACAAAGCAAGATTCATTAAAGAACTAAATCCATCGCAGAATCGATTAGAACTAACGTTTTAATGAACAGTCTAAACCGATACGTGTTCAAAGAGGGAAATAAAGGAAAGGAAATAACAGGCACAAAGTCTTAAAACCACGAACACCAGGCTGAAGGCTTAAGATGTTTTTACATCCGCACATTTCTGTGTCCGTTCCCGCACCCGCCAGTTTTTTTTAATTGGTGATAACCCATCCGTTGATTTCAATGGGCGCTGTCCTGGTATTTCTCCCATTACTATTTATACTTTAATAATACGACAAAATTACGTTTGTTTGTTTGTTTGTTTGTTTGTTTTTCAGATTCTTGCATCTCCGGCCCTTGTTTAAGAAAAGGATTGGTAGATCAATCAATGTTTACAAAGACATTAATATGGGTTTATTGATTTCCTCGGGGTACAAAAATCACAACAAATTTCTTTCTAAACTGGGAAAAAATAATGGACAATTACAAATGAAAAGTGGGAAAAATTAAAAGCAACCAATCTTAAATATTTACACAATTCAATGGTATTAATTTTGTATCATTAATGATCGTTTTCATTCCCAACTACTGGCGCGCTTTGCCAGTGATAAGTGGATCTATATACTACAAGCAGAATTGAGGTAAGATTTGGAACCAAATTCAGAAAACCATTCCATGCGTAATCTGTATATTTACAAGTCGATGATTACAAGCCGGCTGCACTGGCAACCGACTGGGCAGGGGGGACACGGTACCTATTCATCCAACGCTCGTTCTCTTCACGCAACCATGTCTTAAAAGATTCACTGGCCAAGAAAACCAGAAAAAAAAAACTTCCACAAAGTTCACATTCAATTAAAAATGACTTCTGTGACGGATATTGTCTGTAGTCCTATAAAATAAGTCAGGCTACAATGATTCCATGTGTAATGATTTCCTGTCTTGTTTACGTGCATGTGGGAAGTCTCTTTTGAACGGCTCAACTGTTCATTCAACCCCTTTAAGTCAGGCCACAGGATTATCAAACCTACAGTGCCAGCACATTCACTGAATCCAACTGTACTGGTGAGTTCAACCATTTGGATCACGGCCAAATTACTACCTCTGACATCCCATGGATCTCACTTAATGCAGCTTCTGAGCAGAAAACGAAAGTTAAAGTAACTTAAGTGCTTCAGCATGGACCCAGTCCAAAGCAATATACTTCAATGACGTTTTGGCAGGTTATCGAGTAGGCATGCGCGTGTTTTGCTCAAGAGCCCCGTGTGTATTTGAGCTATCAAGTAAAACTGACGGAATAAGAAAACTCCTGTTACCATTAAATTTGCTTCCGAGAAAGGAAATGCTACTCCCCTTTAAAACACACTCAGTTTCCAAAACCCACTTATTTACAGGGAAAGATTACGTTTATGTACAAAAGTGTGAATTGGTCGGTGTGAGCAGTGACAACACGAACCCTAGTTTCCCATCCTTTTGTGAAGTAAATTCCATAAACCCCCAATAAAGTGCCAATGTTAATGCTGCGCATCAAATAAACACTGTAAACTCAATTATGGAACTGGTAAAGTGTTTCACTACTTTGCTTAGGACTGTTATTCTTCACAAGCTAATGAGACAAGAAGACCTTAAGAATTTGTCAATGTGCTAGGAATAATACCAAAACACATCACCTTTTCGAATGCACAATGTCTACTACCGAAACCGACTGGATCTCACCAAAATAAGGCTTGAAATGACAACCCTCCTCTGTGAACCTTCCATTTCTCCCAAATATCAGCCACACACCACAAACCGTGTGCTCTGGTCAATGCACTGCACAGCTATTACCAACACAAGTACTTTGCTGAAAACTAATGCTAAGGAAAGTATTTATGAACAATAAAAGTGACCAAACAAAGGTGGCCAGGATTGCTAGGTAGTCTCATTGTTGTAAAAAAAAGTTGCCAACAACTAGTCACAGACCCTGTTTTCCACGGACTGTAAAAAAAGGTTCGGAAACTTACCGTCGAGTCCATTCTCTTTGTCGGTATTTAGATTCCTCGTACAGATTTTATTCATTTGTTGCCATCAAGTCACTTTTTGGGGTGATCATTTTCATCAGGATCTGGTCATACTCAAACTACTTAATTTGGACACAGCTTCAAAACGGCAACACAAGAATCTGCCACAGCTCTTTCCATAGTCAGGACTGGGACACGGCTTCAAAATGGCAACACTAGAATCTGCCACGGCTCTTTCCATGGTCAGGACTGGGGCACAGGTTCAAAACGGCAACACTACAATCTGCCACAGCTCTTTCCATGGTCAGGACTGGGACAAGGCTTCAAAACGGCAACACTACTATCTGCCACGGCTCTTTCCATAGTCGGGACTGGGGCACAGGTTCAAAATGACAACACTACTATCTGCCACGGCTCTTTCCATAGTCAGGACTTGGGCACAGGTTCAAAATGACAACACTACTATCTGCCACGGCTCTTTCCATAGTCAGGACTTGGGCACAGGTTCAAAATGACAACACTACTATCTGCCACGGCTCTTTCCATAGTCGGGACTGGGGCACAGGTTCAAAATGACAACACTACTATCTGCCACGGCTCTTTCCATAGTCAGGACTTGGGCACAGGTTCAAAATGACAACACTACTATCTGCCACGGCTCTTTCAATGGTCAGGACTGGAGCACAACTTAGTGGAGTATAAAATCTACAACACTTTTCAAATATGTACAACACTTTGAAACGTTTTCTGCAGTACGTTTCCTTGTATTCTGAATATCTTATCAAAGTAAGATGATCTTTACCTGACCCAAACATGAATGTACAGAAAATGTTCTGCAAAATCTCACTCAAAGAAATGCAAGCTTTCCCATAAAATTTGTCATGTTTTTTCCTATCATAAGGATCAACTTTTTGTAGCATTGTAGGAAGGTATTTTGCAGCTTGCTTCCTGAAAATTCTCCTCCGTAAACTCTTGTTCCAACTGTAACATCTGTCACAGAAGACAAACTGTATTCCATGGATATTTCAAGTTGCCCAGTACTAAATGGGGGTCATCTATCGTTGCCAGTTGTGTTCTATCATGGCTGTTGTAGCTGGGTGATCTTGAACAGCTGGGTCGTCGTGCTTCAGATGAGGCCGCGCATCTTCTTGTACTCATTCAGGTTGAGTGACCGCCTGGGGGCGCCCTCCTTGGCCCCCGTTTCCATGCTTGAATTCAGGGCCATGGGACGGGAATCTGCATTTGAAACAAGAGCAGACATCAAAAATTGTCCTTCACTGGGAATCGGGCAGACACTTTCCCTGAAACTGAAGAGCAGTTTCCATTTAAGAGCATCCTAAATGTAGGGTATACCATGAAGTCTACAATATCTAGATACTACAAAACATGTTTATATCAACTGTGGACTTTATACATGTTAAATAAACATCGTACATGTGGCACCGTCTTGCAAAATTACACTCACGCAGGGCGCCTTTTCTATTCTTACTGCACTGCATTGTGGGATTGATTCTGCACCAGATACATGTCAGAAAATGTATTTGATTGTCTACCTCAAAGTGATCAGCATGTGCATTATGCATAAGAGCCAAATGAATGATTGGCAAAGTGCAACTGGGCTGAATAGCTATCATCCAAGAAGATGGGGG